TATATATATATATATATATATATATATATATATATATATAAATAATTTTTTTTACATTATTTATATTAAAGAAAAAATGTCAGTAAGTTATTAAATAATTAATTACTAGGATTTATTTTTGTAAATTACATAATTCATAAAATATTTTGTACTCACAATATTAGTGGTACCCACTAGCCAATAAAGAAAATGCATTGGCAATAAGCAATTATTTAAAATTATACTAAAATTTTTAATTTATTTATGTTATAGTATGCAAAAAGTTTGATCAAAAATGTCTGTTATTTCAAATACAATTTCTATCTTTCTAGTGATTTAGCTATTAACTTATGCATAAAAAAGAACTTTTTAATTATGTCTTAATATGCTAATAAAATAAATATTCAACAGTTTTAAAAACTAAATTACTTAGCTTTTAATTATAATTTTTGTTATTTTATCATGATCTTTTATTTTATTAAAAGTGTATGCTATAATTTTTTTTTTTTTATAAATATTTGTAAATCACCTAAAGCTGTATTTATTTCTAATTATTAATTTATTTTATTTTAGCTTTTTTGAAAATATACAATAGTTTGCATTAATGTTGATTTATTTTTTATTATTCGTGTAATTCAACATTATATAATATTTTTATGGTATTTATGATTTTTTTTTTTTTTTTTATATATATTTATGAATTACAGTTCATTAATTATAACAAAAATGAAATTCTTAATAAATGTATTTCTGAAAATTAACTAGTGTATTTTTATATTTACTATACTGCCTTATATACAATTTTATAATCTTTGTAAGTTATAATTTGTTATTAGAAAAAAATTCATAAATGGTTTACATAGAAGTCCTGGAAAACTTAAAATAGCATTTGCATTTATTTTTGTTAAGAGAGGACACACCCACATGTGCTGTCAATGTCAGTGTCATTCAATAGCAAAATTGTATTGATAGTGATTGTCCATTGTTTTTAGCTTTAATATTAGAATAAACTGACCTATATTAATACTTTAACACGTTGACTACCAAGCCTAATTTTCATAAACTGTCTTTCTGTACCATGAGGGTACTCGAGTTCTCTCAACAGGTCTATTGTTGTGTACCGTGAGGGTACCCGGGTTCTCTCAGTATTTCTTGTGTTTGATTTAACATTTACGCCATCTACTTTTATAAAATTGTACTAAATAGCGTATAAATCGTCATTAATATACGTTATCTACCTGTGGTAACTGTGGGAATCCTCGGGTTCTCTCAAAAAATAAGTTATTTGATATTTTATAAAACAAATATTATTCACCCAGAATTTAAACAATTTTATTAATTTAAACAGCCTTATGTTTTTTTTTTTAAATTCATTGATGCATCAGTCTTTGATTACATTAAAAAATAAAACAAATAAAACAAAAAAATATATCAAAACAAAATTAAAATGTTATAGATACCTATAAACATAAGTAACAAATAAAAAAAAACTTAACATTTCTGTCTTTAATAGTGACTCACTATTCAAAATTAAATACAATTGCAAAAAAAAAAACCTAATATTAATTAAATTTAGGAATTATTAAAATAATTATTTGTGAGTATTTTGAAAACATTCCAAGCAAAAAGCTGGTTTATTTTCACAAGAATTACAGAATGTTATTGTGGTCTTGCAAATTATACAATAATGATAAATAAATATTAGAAAAATAAGAAAACAAATGTTCGTGGAGCAATAATCAATCTATTATCTAAATTATAAGAAAACATATACTGAGAGGCCTTGGGTTCTCTCAATGTTCCCTATGCACAATTGTATCATTTGTGTACCACGAGAGTACCCGGGTTCTCTCAGTTAATTATTGATAGATAATTAGTAATCATTCAAAATAAATATTTTTTCATCTGAGGCATTTTTTCGTATCATCAATAATTAATGAGTTAATGATTTGGTACATGAATTTAAATATTTAAAAATTGTCATGGTACGCTAAAGTTGGAACGGTGAGAGAACCTGAGCACTCTCATGGTAATCAACGTGAAGATTGTTTTTTTTTTTTTTATGGGTTTTTTCCAACATTTTAAATTTTAAGAGACTAATGAGTTTTTTAAATGCAATATTTTACATTACCTTAACTTGATTAAAATTAAACTATATAATTGGATTGGCTATATATTGTAAAGGGAGACAATATCTGGTACACTACTCCTAACTATACTTTTCTTAAATACATGTATCATATATTTTTAATGTGTAATAAATTAAACTACTAGAAATACTAATTATAAATTTATTTTGATTAGTAAACTATACATAATAAAAATAATATTTTAAAAATAAAACAATAAATATAAAAATAAAATTATTAAAATTCAACCAATAAAATTTTTTTTTATATTATATTGCAATTGAATAAACTATAATTTGAATGGAATGTAATTATGAATAAAAATAATTTTAACCTAACAAATAAAAGCAATGGTTAGTAATAGAATGTTTACGAAAAATATATGAATACATTTAAGATATTATTTTATAGTTGTTAATTTAAATACAAGTGATATATAAAAAATGATGGTAATTTTTAAAGGTCATAATGAAATTTTAGAAATTAACCAGACATAACCATGTTTATAAACTCTTCATAAAGAACATTTCCTTGAGAATCCTCTTGACCAGCCAGCAATTGTTCAACTTCATCATCAGTTAATTTTTCACCTTAAATATTAGAACATTAAAATCAAATTAAAACTATAATATACATAACTAATTCTAAGTAATAAAGAAAAATTAAATACCTAAACTAGTAAGAAGATGTCTTAGTTCAGCAGATGAAATATAACCGTTACCATCTTTATCAAAATGACGTAGACCTTCATTAAAATCTTCAGCAGTATTAGATGACCTATTTTTAGATATGGCTTGATAAATTGGTAGAAAAACTTCAAATGTTATTCTTTCATCTATATTAAAATTAATTATTTTATTTTTCAATTGATTATATATACTCAATCAAACATATTGTACTCAGTAAAAAAGTTTTAAAAACTTGTTTATGAGTAAATATAAATATTATCTTTTTTTTCATTATAGCTTGAATTAAATTATATAGTATTATTAGATGCTCAACACTTGAATACTATTAAAATATTTAAAAAGGCTTCAAGCAAATAATATATTTATTTCACAAAAAATAATATAGAACACATTAAAAACTTTTATATAAACATAAAATTATTTCTAAATAGTATTATTTATGATTTAACCAAATCATCATTCTAAAATTTGTAATTTATAATTTATAATTATACAATTATATTAATAATAATTTATATATAACTGCTCTTCCCTTCTTCCTAGCGGACTTACATTTTTTTTATTTGTTGTCTTCCTTTTGTTACATCAGTCCAAACTCAAATCTTTTCCTTAACTCTTGCTTCTATCATTCATTCCATTGGTACTTGTTCAATATGTTATCTACCACATGTTTGATGATTTAGTATGCTATCTACCGTAAATATTTTAACTACAATGTAGTTATGTATACATATCTCCGAGGAATGATTTTTTAAGAAATTTTTTCAACTCACCACCACAAATTGTTTGGTTTTTAATTTTTGTTCATGTTTGGTCGATTAGTAATAAATCTCGTATGCTTAAACATTTTTCGCACATATCTTCATTTTGAATTATATTTCAATATAAATAACTCATAGTTGAAAAACTCATAATAATAATTAATAAACAATAATAAATAAATCACAATAAAAACACCTATAATCGATAAGAGTCACAAACACAAACAAAACAGGTTATCATATTATTGTACTAAACTATCATCAAATTACGGTAGATAGCATATTGGACGAGTACCATTCCATTATACATTTTAACAATTCTTCTAGCTTTATTATTTAAATTTATTTAATTTTTACATTGTATAGTACTTAATCCATTTAAATTGTTATATGTAACTTAATTACATTGCTGTAATTTTTAAAGACAAAAGCAAAAAAAAATAAATAATCATCAAGTATGTCATTGCATGCTACATATTTACCTGCTTTATGTTGCTGAGTGAACTTATTGACATCTGACTCAGTTGGATTTTGTCCCAAAGCACGTAAGGCATTACCAATTTGTGATATGTGAATTTTATTATCCCCTCGAATGTCAAAAAGTTGGAAAGCTTCTTGCATTTCTAAAACATAAATATATGACCATAAATTGTGTAAAATTAAAATATTTAGCTGTTACCATCCATTGAAGTAATCACTTTAACAGTATCATAGTTATAAGAATACATTTTGACAAAAAAAATTTTTTTTAAAAATTATACTTTGTAGATTATGTTATGTTTGTTATAACTACATCAAATGAATACAGTCACTTCTTCTAACCTTCTCATAACAATTTGTTTTACTTACGAGGACGAGTTTCATATTAGAACCAAATAAGGTAATGAAACTGTAATCAACAGTCAACATCATACCCTTTCTACAACTACATTCATTCAGGATTTAATAACATTCAAAATTTACTCACCAGACAGATGTTCATCTGAATAAGACGCCTATAGGTAAATAAAATTAAATAAATAATTTTAATAAATATAAAATAATTTATTAAATTTTCATTACATGAAATATTAACATAAAATATTAAATATGCACATACCGTTTTGCTCATAGTTAAATTTCGTGTTGGGATCGATAGTTACTGAAATCAAAAAATAATTTGAAAAATAATTGATTATCGAAGGAGATGGCTACTGACTAGTATTAAAAGATGAATCAACACTTTTAAGAAACAATAATGGATACATTTAGCTAGAATGTTTGGAATTTTTGTAAAATAACAGCGACATTAGTCAGTTACAATGATAACACGTAAAGAAGCAACAGTTTATCCATTTGTGCAATAATCACATTTTACCATATTGAATATCATCTGGTGTGTAAAATATACCCATGTAGTCGCAGAATAAATTATCACTCGTAACTCCGAGATGGTCCCAGGAGTACGTGAAAGCAAAAGGGTAATGATGGAAAATTTAAAACTTTATACAAAGTTAAGTTCGTAAAGTTCTTTACGGAAATATTTAATTATTATTAAAACCCAGTGTCGTGCGCAGGAGGGATGCTGAGGGATATTCCACCTCATGGGTTTTTCTTTTTTAGCCTTAAACGTTTAAAAAGACATTTAAGAAATAGGACGGGATAGTCATGGTTAAAGGGATTGCGTTAATGAACATACATCGAGACAATTCATTATCTACAGAACATATTATTGACGAATTTAGTGTAAAAGCCAGAAAGTTGATTGATAGGTTAACCTAACCTTGATTGACATTCATTGACATCAATTTTTAACATTAAATATTTATTAAAAAAATTTGGTCCATCCTATCATAATGAAACTCTGAATACAGATAAATATTTAGTAATAAAAAAAAAAAAATTTCTCCGTCAAACAATAAAATATTAAACAGGTTGATAAAAAAATTAACCTGCTGATAATTAGACTAAAAATGGTAAAATATACTTATAAATGATTGATTTTTATACTAACCTTTTTGATAAATAAATAATTCTTTAATTATTTATCATTTCTTTAAAATTCAGTATATTTACAGTATATTTATTACTAGCATAGACACAACTAGGCAAGGCCGTATCTAGAAATTTTTTTCAGGAGTGGTCCAAAACATGTTATAAATATACATATTATAATTTTATTGAATTTAGATTTTAACTTTTGACATTTGGTTAAAAAAACGACAGAAAAAGATTTAATACTTTGTGGCAGACAAAAATGTTTCCTAAGCTAAATAATTTTTTTTCAATTGTTTATTACCGGAGTTAGTAGATCCAAGATACCCCAGATCAATGGCTATTCCAAATCCAAACAATATACTGGAAGCGAAACGGAAAAAAGAACAAACGGAAAATTAATAAACAAAATAAAAAACAAGTTTAAAAATTTAAATAATTTAAAACCTAATTATTATAAATAACAAAATAACTTTTCTTATTTGTACTGACATAATTATTAATATTTCTATTATAAAAATCTTCAATAAAAATACATAATAATATGTAAACAAAATAATTTTGCATGGTACATTTTATACAAAATATTAATATATACTCATGTATTATAATCTCATGATAGAAAAATAAGAGTGAAAGGATCACCTATTTAAAAACTTCTAATAGACATATTTAATACGTATTTTAACAAGTTGGTAATAAGGTTATACACATAAATTAAGTTTGTGTTATATTAAAATTGTTGTGTACTATATATTGGTACACATATTAAAGTAAAGAGGAGTTTTATTTAATTAGTAGGCTGTGAGCTTAAATTGAAGAGTGAGCTCGTTAGAAAGTCCTTAGATTTACATAAATATGTATACGCGAACCATTCAATAATAAACATTTTTAAAAAAATATGTTGAAAGTTATTTAAATTCTACTTATCAGTACGGTCTAAATACTATTCATAATATAAAAAATACTATTTAAATATATCATTTCAAAAAGTATAGGACCAACCATGCTTAAGTACTTTTAATGATTATCAGGTGTTCCAAAAACATACAGAAGTAAAAATAGGTATACAGAATGAACCTTTGGTAAACAATTTTTATATTTTATTTTATTATTTTTTCACATTAATTTAATTTTATTATAATAAATTATATTTATAAGTGTTTTAGATATTGTAATAAATAATAATTATTGATAATTAATATGACCAGTGGCGTAGATATTAATTATTTTCACTATGGGCCAATTTACCCCCACCATAGCTACAATTAGATATGTTTAGAAATTAGAAGATATCTAGTCTGTGATGTAAATACACAGCTTTATTTGTCGTGTCCTTTCATAGTTTATTCGTATTTTGATTGGTCATTACAATCATAGACCATGGTATCAGTCAGTAACGTAAATTTTATACCTCAAAAACAACGTACTAGCATAGAACAATAACAATAATAGTAGATACAGGCCATGGAATCATATAAATATATAATTATATAATTTAGCAATATGCATAAAAATGTTTTAATTGAATTTGAAATTTCATTATGGGCCCCCCCTCTATATGCGCCACTACAATGCGTAATATTCATAAAGGATATCAGAGGGGCTTGGGGGGCTTGGTCCCCCCCAAATATTTTAATAGCCCACCAAAATCGAAACATTGTTAGAA